TTTAAAATGATATAGATAAAATCGCTCTATGTATTCTTGTGCAATTTATTTTATTTTTCACTACACATTGTTAGACTTAATCATGCTGAGTCATTCATTAGACTTATTCATGCTAAATCAGCAGCATTTTTCAATGATATACAAGGTGTGGCAAAAGTAGGTTTATAGGTGTGAGATTGTGAAACACATAGTAAATAAAGCTATTTTAATAATCATAACCTGCATTTCTTTTTTTCATATGAACATCCATAAGCTACTTTTGTCCCACCCTGTATTCTATGTCAATATATAAATCTGCCACAATATATTCTTCTTCCTAGTTCTCCTACTAATTACAGCAGTCCTTTTAGCATATCTTGCAGTGCTGGTTGGGTGTTAATATATTCCCTTAGGCTTTTTTTGTCTGGAAAGCTTTTTATTTGACCTTCTATTTTGAATGGTAGCCTTGTTGGATAGAGTAGTCTTGGATTCAGGTCTTTGTTTTTCATGACCTTGATTACTTCATGCCACTCCCTTCTTGCCTGTAGTGTTTCTGTTAAGAAGTCAGCTGAGAGCCTATGGGGTTTCCTTTATAGGTAACCTGTTGCTTATATCTTGCTGCCTTTAGGATTATCTCTTTGTCTTTAATCTTTGGCATTTTAATTACTATGTGTCTTGGTGTGGGCCTGTTTGGGTTCTTCTTACATTGGGCTCTCTGAGCTATTTGAACTTGCATGCCTTCTTCCTTCACAAAGTTAGAAATTTTTCTGTCAATATTTCTTCAAATATATTCTCTAACCCTTGCCCATTTTCTTCCTTTTCGCTGACACCTATGATGCGAATGTTATTACGTTTCAAGGTGTCCCACAGTTCTCTTAAGCTGTGTTCTTATTTTTTTAATCATTTTTTTCTTCTGGATTTCTGATTGGTTGATTTTTTCTAACCTATCTTCTAATTCACTGATCTAGTCCTCAGCGTCCTACACTCTGCTGTTTAGTCCTTCCAATGTGTTCTTAATTTCTCCTATATAATTCTTTATTTCCACTTGGTTGGTTTTCAATGTTTCTATATCTTTTTTCATGGTGCTGATGTCCTTATTCATGCTGCTGAGCTGCCTTAAGATGATGGCTCTGAACTCTACCTCTGATAATTCGCTTAGCTGCACTTCATTGATCTCATCTTCAATAGAGTTCTCTTGTTCTTTCATTTGGGATTTGTTTCTTTTTTTTCTTCACCATTCTGGCTATCTCAGTGGAGCCTGCCAAATTTTTCCTGTGGGTGTTGGTGTTCTGCTGTTTGTGGCTCCCTGTCCTGGGTTTGGATGAGCCTGGGTGGGCCCACGTTAAACACCACTGTCAAGTCTTACTTTTCTGGGTAGATTTGCAAGCCCAGGAAAGATTCAGTTATGCTCTAGCTTTTTCCTGGTGGCTAGTAGTCTCAGTTACTCAGTGCCTTGGATTATAGCCCTGGTGTTCTGCATAAGAGGATTTCCAGAGGGTGGAATAGATGGTGGCTGTTAATGAGCCTCAATTTTTATTTCTTTGCCTCACCTGGGAAAGGCTGAATCTCCAAGGGGTGGGCTGTTGCTTTTCCCCACAACTAGGAGAAGGTGCACACTGGCTACCGTTTTTGTGGCTTAACTCAGCAAAAACTCTGAGTGCCCTCCAAATCCCTGTTGTTCCCACAGACTTCCAGCCCAGTCTGCCCTCCCTCTGCTGTAGCCCCCAGGTGAGTGGCTGTGGCTATTTTAGTGCTCTGTCCAGGCTCTCTGGGCTGTGGAGCAGGCTTGGTCTTTATTCCTCAAGAGAGCTGCTTATAGCTAAGACTGCTGCTGTCCATGGGCTCCCAGCCCACCACCCTCTTGTGCCTCCGCTGATCCTACCGGTGTCTCTGGTTATATGGTCCTGTTCTGCTGCTTTTCTGTTGCTTTTTTCTGAGGATTTGTCTTTATTTTAGTTGTAATTCCTGTTTGGTCCTGGGAGATCATCTGCATGGCTTCTATTCACTCTGCCTCGTTTTTCACATTCTCTAAGCCTATCTTGTGTGCAGCTGGGTCACACAGACCTTTCTGGTGCCCCCGCACCCTGCAGGTCCCAGGAGTAACTGGATGGCACACGCCCTCTGGGGACTGGGCTCTGTGCCTATGTTATGGGGTGCTGGGTCGCACAGGTCTCTGGTGCTTCAGCACTCCACAGGCCCCATGGGTAGTGGGTAACTAGATCTCGCAGTCCCTGCTGGGTGGCACAGGCCTCTCTGGTGCCCCTGCACCCTGCAGTTCCTGCGGGTGGGCAGCTGGATTGCACCAGTCTCTCTAGGGCTCCAGCTTCCCACTGCACTTGTAAGCTACTGGATGCACAGACCTCTGTGGTGCCCCAGGTCCTGCTGCTGGCGGCTGGGGAGTGCTGCTGCCCTGTGGGGCTCAACTGCTGCTCAGCTTTTGCTGTAGATTTTGGGGATAGTTCTCATCTGCTGGTCTGTGCTTTTGTTGCCTGGGGATAGATTTCTGCTCCCCAGCTTCTGTTGCTGGGGGTATATCTGGTCTCTGATTGGGCTGCTACTATGGGGAATGGTGCTGGGCTCTGGGCTGTCCAGGGCTTCCATAGCAGGCACCTTAGAAGCTCCACTACTGTGCACTGGTCTGTGTTGACACGGAGTGTCCACTGGTCCGATGGCGCCAGGCACAGGTGGGTTCGGCTTGCTGGGCCCTACCTACTCCCACTGCCTCCTCCCAGGGAAGACCCGGCATCTTCCAAAATGGTGGGAACTCCCCATGGAGCAGGAAGAAGCACCCTGAAGGGCCATTTATTGCGGTAGCCAGCTGCTCTTGTCCACAGCACAGGAACTTTCTGCTCCGTGTCTCTGTACTGCAGGGGTTTGGTTGTCCACCTTCATGTCCACTCACACTCTCTCACACACTCGCTCACTCTCTCACACACTCACCCTCCCTCCGGTCCTGCCCACTGCTATCTTCCGTGTTGAAATCCAAATAACCTTTATATATGAACCATGCTTTATTTTTTCTCATATATTTCATTACTTTTTAAATTGCTATTTATTTATGTGATTCTATATATAATAGATTTCTGCTTCTAGTTCTGTATTGGCTGGGCAGTGGCTATTGTTACCAGAGCCCAATGAGAGCTAAAACCAGGAAGAAATTTCCTGGCCACCTTCTTTCCCAACACACATATCAGCCGAAGTTTGCTTGGAAGGACTCAGCCATTCTAACACTCTTATTGTGAATTTAGAGAGAAGAAGAAAGAAACTAAGCTACTTTTCTCTTCTTCCTACCTCTGATATTCTGCTTATTTCTCTCATTGTCCAAATTCAGCTGCATGATAGTTACTGAAGGAGTTTTATTGATGCACTCCATAAGGGCTAAATTCCACATGAATGAAGCAAGGTAGAGAAGAGAAGAGAAGACAATAGGTCTCAGGGGGGCAGGGTGACAGTAAAAGAACCACCAGCACAACTATATTACCTATAATGTATCCACAATGTTCCTGCTATTTATATTTGTTTCTATTAAAAAGATAAATGACAAGGTCATTGAAAGTTAGTTGATCTTCCAGGGGTTTTTCAGACTTCAAAACTCTTCTGCTCTACCATGCACTATTCTATATTAAGTGTTGTAGACAAGAGAACTTAATATTTTTCTCAAGTCAAAAGATATTAAGACCCTCAAGCATAAGCTAAAATAAATAATGAATCCCATCACTTCATGTTTCTTAGGACATTTGATTCCCTGATGATATTGGAGAGTGGCAAAAATTAAGTCCTCAGTGAGCATAAGATGTACAAAAGAATGAAACCACAGTGGTTGCTTTCTAGTAGAAATAATTGAACCATAGGGATTCGGTCCCTATATAACAACTGTGTTGCAAACTCTTCAGGTTCTTTGAGTCCATGCTGTCATTGAGAAATCACTCTTCTTTCACAGGTAAGATTAGCTGTTATAAAATATATGTTGGAATCTAGAAATTTTATTCAATAAAATAAAATTATGAGCTGAAACATATTCTGGTGAATTAGTAATTGTCTTGAATTAAATTGTATTATATCACACTATTCTCAGAATAAGGATTTTAAATGTACAGTGGAATGGTATTTACAATGATAAGAGAACTAGACCAAGGAGAACATTCACTCCACCAGGAATCGCCGATTGCCCCCGTTTGGGAAGGCACTGGTCTAGGTGCCATTGAGGCTACAGCTACAGATTGGATAGAATCCTTATTCCAAAGGAGCTCACACTTTGATACTGAGTTTTATTTTAGACTATATCTGAATTTTTTTCACCAAAAAATTACAGTAGCTACAACTTATTAAGTGCTTAATACATGCCAGGCATATTTTTAAAGTTTTACCTGTATGAGCTCTCTGACATGGAGGAAGGTGGTATTAGTAATCACATTGTATGCCTGTGGAATCATGGGGACAGAAAAATGAATAACGTGCCCAAACCTCACCAGGAATTACAGGAAAATGAACATGCACTGCATGATGAGGGTATAACCTTTAAACAGCTTTCAGTTTAGAGGGGCAGGTAGACAGAATCTCACTCTATGAAAATGTGTTCCATTTCCTTAAGTCCATTCAGATGTGAAAAACAGATGAGTTTCAATAATGATCCTGTGGATACTACACAAAAGGCACATTGGAAAAAATAGTATTACAATTTCCAAGAAAAGCAATACGTAAAAATATCATTTCAGGACATTGTAGGTGAACAAATGTGAGAGAGACTTGCAGAAAAGAGAAAGGATTTTCAAATATGAATAGATATGCAGAAAAGCATGTAACAATATGACTGCCTTTATATATAAGAGTGCCATATATATTTAGATATTGAAACATTCAACGGGATGCTTAGTAGGCTTCTTCTTTATGCCACAGGTATTTACACATTTGGGAGAAGAGGAAGAAGTATCAGATGACATGATGGGGGTAATGGATGAGTGACAAGAGACCTGTATCTCTGTTTTCTTTATTGAGACCTCTTTGGAAGCCAAGCCAAGACAATGTCAAAGAAGAACTACACAGTGGTGACTGAGTTTATCCTCCTGGGTCTGACCGATAGAGCAGAGTTGCAGCCTGTCCTTTTTGTGGTGTTCCTGGTCATCTACCTGATCACAGTAACCGGCAATATGAGCCTGATTTTGTTAATCAGGAGTGACTCAAAACTAAACACTCCAATGTACTTCTTCCTCAGCCACCTCTCTTTTGTAGACCTCTGTTATGCCACCACCATCACCCCCCAGATGCTGGTTAATTTCTTATCCAAGAGAAAAACCATTTCTGCCATTGGTTGCTTTATACAATTCCACTTTTTCATTTCCTTGGTGATCACAGATTATTATATGCTCACAGTGATGGCTTATGACCGCTACATGGCTATCTGCAAACCCTTGTTATATGGTAGCAAAATGTCCCGAAGTGTCTGTATCACTCTCGTTATGGTTCCTTATACTTATGGCTTTGCAAATGGTCTGGTCCAGACCATCCTGATGCTTCGTCTCTCTTTCTGTGGACAAAATGAAATCAACCACTTCTACTGTGCAGACCCACCTCTGTTAGTTCTTGCCTGCTCAGATACTTATGTCAAAGAAACTGCTATGTTTGTGGTGGCTGGTTCCAACCTCACCTGCTCTGTCACCATGATTTTCCTCTCCTACATTTTCATTTTCGCAGCCATTTTGCGCATTCGCTCCGCTGAGGGGAGGCGCAAGGCCTTCTCCACCTGTGGGTCCCATCTGACAGCTGTCACTATCTTTTACGGGACACTGTTTTGCATGTATCTGAGATCCCCTTCAGAAACATCAGTGGAACAGGGGAAAATTGTAGCTGTGTTTTATATCTTTGTAAGTCCCATGCTAAATCCTTTGATCTATAGTCTGAGGAACAAAGATGTTAAAGAAGCGTTCAGGAAGGTTATGCAAAAGAAATTGTTTGCTAAATAAAGTAGATCTTTTGGACACAAGCATGCAATATATCCTTATTATCTGGCCAATTAAGGATACTATCACTTACAATTAACTGATCAGTTTCAGTCACTGAATATGTTTTGTCCTCCATAATTAACATATGGAACGTGGAAGAATGTGTCAAGTTATTGCTAGTGTTTACAGTATTATGTCAGTGAATTAAAAAGACTGCATAGAAATTCAAAGACATTACCCGAAGGCATTGTTATCGCTCTTTAAAGTCAACAGAGAACAGATGATCCCATGCATGATACTCGTACTGGTGCAAAGTTATAAAGACATTACCAAAGGATGCTATGGCAATGACCATCCATTAGATTTGTATAGTGCTTAATAATTTTGAATCTCTTTTCCAGAAACTTCTTAACCATGGCAGATGAGTTTTGTTTTCTTCTTCCCGTTATACAAACTATATAGCAATTAACATCTGTGGTTATCTGAGATATTTTTCTCTTAGATAAAAATGCCACATTTTCCTTAGAAGGTGTTTTATTTATTTATTGTTATTATTATTATTATTTCTTATTTTTACTAACATGCATCCCTATCTGAGTACTGGTTTTGTGTTTTCACTTGTTCATTTTTTATTGTGTAGTATTTTCAGCATATAGTCAGAAATATAAAAGTAATAAAAAGACCACCTGTGTAAGCCTTGCTGATCATTATTAAGTCTCCACACAATGCCACTTTTGTTTCAAATATTTCAGAGATTCAGATATTTCTAAAATTGAGTCTCCCTGGCCCAAATCTCTTTTCTCTCAATTTCTTGCACTAAACCCTAATATGAATTTAATGTTTCTCATTCTTATGTTGAGCTTTGTCACTTGTTAGTGTTCTTGTATACACAGAATTATAGTAGTTTTTAGATTTAAAATGGTATAGATAAAATCGCTCTATGTATTCTTGTGCAATTTATTTTATTTTTCACTACACATTGTTAGACTTAGTCATGCTGAATCATACATTAGACTTATTCATGCTAAATCAGCAGCATTTTTCAATGATATACAAGGTGTGGCAAAAGTAGGTTTATAGCTTTGAGATTGTGAAACACAGAGTAAATAAATCTATTTTAATAATCATAACCTGCATTTCTTTTTTTCATATGAACATCCATAAGCTACTTTTGTCCCACATATATCTATGTCAATATATAAATCTGCCACAATATATTAATCTATTCTATTATTGATGGGCAATTGCATTATTCTATTTCGTGATAATATGAAAATCCAGAAATAAATTTTCTTGTGAAATTCTGAATGCATTGTAGTTTTAGAGTTCCTTTCATGTAGGTACCTAGATGATAATATCTGTTATGAGATAGGAGCATCTGTGCATTTACTAGATGTAGCCGAATTGTTTTACCAAATTACATTCCTGTCAGTACCATGTGAGAGTGTCTTTACTCCACATTCTTGTCAACCCAATACATTGTCAGACTTTGAAAATATTTTCCAATTTGATGGTGCAAAATGTATCCTCATTTCTTGTTTAAGTTTTTGAATTATGATTACAACAGAAGCTAAGGAATTTTAAGTGCTTGATGGTAATTGAAAATTTTTTTTTACTTGTATGTCTATATTCTTGTTTGCTTTCAGCTGGGTTATTTTATATTTATTTTCTACATTTGTAATAGATCTTATGTATTCTTTACTAGGTACTAATCTGTTAATGATCTATGCAATGCAAATATCTTCAACCTGTTTGTAGTTTGAATTTTATTTCTGTGCATGGTATATTGAGTGGTACAAAAGATTTTCATTTTAATGTAGTTCAAATAGATCAACCTTTTCTTATGGTTGTGTTTTGAATGTCTCGTCTAAACAATAATTTTCTGTTATACACATACTCGCCTAACCTTTCATTTTTTAAAGTTTTGCTTTGCATGTGTAAGTCTTTATTTTTCCAGCTATCATAAATATTGCAAAACAAACTCTAACAAACTTTTAATAAAAACAATTAAATTTCTATTTTTGAGTACTTAATACCTTTCTCATTGAATGTTCAGTGTGAACTGTGTTATGTATCAAGTTTTCATATATGTATCAGTGTGTTTCTGGGTTCTTTATTCTAGGACCAAGTTGTCAATCCGTTCATCACTACAAACTTCTTTATAAGAATAGCTTTGTTGACCCTCATCTGGAAGTTTGAAACATTAGAATATTTTCTTTAAGGATCTATGACAAAAGAAGCTTTTAAAATGAATAGAAGTACCTGTATTCTATGCAGAGTCTATCTCCATCGTTTCTCCAGAAGGCACGTGAAACCAACCTCATTGATCCAGTTTGGTGTCTATGAGAATGAGAAATAAAAATATTAATAGTCTCTATTTTGTCTTGTACTTACTCTCTTATTTTGGTAGTCACCTTCACAATTATTCCTTACTTATGTTATGGTTTAACATATTTTTCAAGGTGTCATCAGTTCTGAATGCCTTGTATATTCTTTCTTTTCTATCCAAACTCGGTCAATTCTCAAGCCGGAAGATGCTATATTGTGTTTCAAGAGTTCACAGGGGAAACAGCAGCAGAAGTGATTTTACTCGTTAGGCATCACAGGTGATACATTTCCTGCTGGGCAGTTTGCACACCATCCATGTCAGGCCATCCTTCTGAAACCAGACACAAAAGGGTCTGGTCTGCCTGCTGCTACCAGATTCAAATAAGTAGAGAAGATATTGAACCTTTGTGGATTATTAATCAGATAGCTGGCAATCTGAAAGCGCAACATATGTAACACCCTGAAAAGACCACACTGACATTTCTTTTCAAACAAGCTCTTATATAGGGTTAGTGGGTGGGGAAAAAACCACTAAAGTTAGTGAGTTTCCAGAGTTTGCCTTCTTTCATTGTCCTTGCAAAGATTAGCGCTGGAATGTTGTCTGCCTTCAGATAGCTTTTGTCCTCGATCTGCACTTAGAATGTATTTTTTTTTGAGTGACAGGCTCATCTGGGCTCCAGGGCTGCCTTATCTCCAAGGCCTCTTCTTCTTCTTGCAGAACATCCTCCAGTTCCCTGGGGTCTGTAAGAAAATCTCTTCTTTTAGTGAGTAGCTATTAGACAACTGTGATTCTATTTCTATTATGTGCCACTCCCCTATCACTTTGATCATCATTGGCATTTCCTCCTGACACATACCAAATTCTCATTTGTAAAACAAAGATAATAATTCTAATGACTCGTGGAGTACTATGAGTGAATGCCTAGTACATGTTAAGTATTCAGTGCTTACTACCTATAATAATTACCCACATTCTGTTTTTTGTTGTGGTGGTGGTTTCTTAAGCAAATTAGTTACTTACCACATTTATCTCCCTACATTTTGAGAGATAAGAAAATGAGCTCAATAAAATACAAAGTTACTTGGGAGAGAATACCAAGACTTCTTTTTTATCCACTGGATTAAGTATACATTGTATACTCCTTCAGTTACGTAGCAAGTGTTTATTGATCAACTGTTATCTTCTAGGGCCTACACTTGGTATGATTACAGTTATAGCCCATAAGGCTTTGTAGTCTAATGGTGGCAATAAAATCATTAGAAAGAGTCAAGCTGATGTGGCTCAGTGGGTTGAGCATTGGACCATAAACTGAGAGGTCCCGGTTAGATTCCCGGTTAGGGCATATGTCCAGGTTGTGGGCTCAATCCCCAGTAGGGGGTGTGCAGATGTTTCTATCTCTCTCTCTAAAAACATCAATAAAAACAAAACAAAAAACATTAGAAAGTAATTAAACAGTGTGTGTTAGACAAGGACAGGGAAAGAGTGCTACAATGCATGGAGGAAGGTCAAACTCAGTTCTCTGAAAGTAGAGATAACATCCTTGGAGAAGAATTCAATTTGCCTTTCCTACTGCCCAAAACAACTTGATTCTGATGAGAATAGGAAAAGTACTGATTGGAGGAAATCTAAGGGAATGTTATTAAAACGACGAGGGAAGGATAAAACGTGACTGTAGCTTGAGGAATGGCAGCCACCTGCCATTGATAAAGTACTCAATTTGCGATGTGAGGACAGGAATTCAAATCCTACCCTGCCACTTACTAGCTGTGAGGCACCCGGTACAATCAATCACTGTTCTTTTAATGGAGTCTGTGTTTATTTGGCTGTAAGTTCAGGGTCGAGTCCCTAACCCTTAGGGTTATTTGGAGAAATCAATTAAATCACCTTCGTGAGAGTTGTCCACACATAGTGAGTGTTCACCAAGGTGTTTGCCAAAGACCCTGCTTGTTTCGCAGTCCTGTTGATGGCAGACCCTACTCTAGACATCAGTGTTCATGAGAGAGGATAGTGCTCTGGATTTTAATAAGCGATACTCTGAGAAAAAGAAAACAAAATAAAACATCAAACATCACACACACACAAAAAGAAAAAAAAAGTGTAAAATCAGACCATGGCCGAAATTTCAAGATGACACCTTTTTGTGTGTCTTCCACAAATGGTGAATTTAACATTATAGAAATTATGACTGAGACATATAATTAGCTTTCTGATCCCAGCGTGTTCCAATTAAACCCAAGAGGGTGATTCTTAATGTAACACTCATTGCTGATACTCTTAAGTCCTTCTGAGATTTGCTTTAAGAGCACATCCCTCCCACATCCGGTTATAAGTAGAGTTACATTTTACAGCTTTGAGAGGCATCAAGACACTTCCTTAATCAGAGGTTGGGAAAACAGCTGCTTATCAGGACCAGAAGTAAGTCTTGGTGTTTTACCATCTTTATTCTTTATTTTGAGTCAAAAGAAAATTGTATTCAAGTCTTAAACCGAGGACCACAAATTATACGCATTTCCATTCTTAAAAATCAATTTTTTTTCCTGACTTTGCAAAAAAGTGAGCTTGTGAATCTTGAGTTTTTGTTGTGAACAAGGACATACCTTTCGCTCAGTGGCTGTGGGCTGACATCAACTATGAAAGTCAACTCTATTCCTTGCAATACTCATTACTTGCCTACTTTATGTAAATAACTTTTCTAAGTACTTTAAATGATTTCACTGTTTTATTACTCTTGATAATTGCATTTCCAATTTTACAGCTGGGAAACAAGATGAGACAGGTTAAGTACCTGGCCACTGCCATGGACTTCATAACTGATGGAGCCAGAATCAGAATCACTAAATGGAATTAGAGTCAAGAAATTCTGACTTTCTCATTACTAAAGTACTGACTCGTTAGACATCATGTTAAAGCAAGCCTGGCATAACCTAATTAGATTTACTTATTTTGAGAAAACTGCAGCTGAGCTAAATGTTACCCAAGTTGACCGAGTAAGTTGGTGACAAAGCTGGATATAGGTTCCAGACCCACCCAGAACCTTTGGTTGATTGATGGGATTCTCCTGCAAACACAGAAGAAGCTAAATTAGTGGCTTAGTGCTTCCCTTGTCATGAGCATCTGCTCATCAGGGCCTCCTGCTGATGAGTCAGACATTAGTTACATCGATAATGGGGTTGATCTACTTAGGATGCATGTGCCAAGTTAACACAGGGCCTGTGCTGGCCCTCAGGCTGGGCTCTCAGTCCAGAAGCCCATTGTACACCCTTTCTCTCCTTGAAGATGCTCTCAGGAATTGATATGATTTGAATCTCAATTGTTTCTTCTCCTTAATTATTTTTTTGAGCATTTCTAAATTATCATGATAGAGAGAAGGAGCAGAGGGCAATGAGGAGGAAACAGAGGTAACCCCATTCACTCTCCCTCCTGTAAACGGAAAAACCTTCTGGGAAACAGATTTGGACTAGTTGTCTTAGTTCTCAATGGCATAGAATTGATAGGTGTCCCTGAGGACAAAACACAAATCTACTTCAGTCAGTATTTTGTTTACCCTGCATCTCCCCTTTTCTAGAAGATGAAGCAATTAAATTATATTTACCAAGATTTTAAACACCTGTCAGGTTGTTTCTTTAAGATGACTGATTATTGTATTTGTACAGTTTGTCTCACATATATTCCGTATCTCCACTTTTACAAGCACAAGTAGAAGTCTTACTTCCTTCTGCAGACCTCAAATTTAACTTTGCTTCACCCTGTTTCCTCAAAATATGTACCTGCGATTCTTTTCTGTTTTCAGTAGCAGAGTTGGAACCTCAACTACTTTCCTTGACAACAGGCTTATTGAAATTCCCATTGATCTTTCTGGACAATGTTTTACAGACATGTATGTCACTGGTGCAAAATAATAAAAAAAGGCAAATCATCTGTTCCCTGCACACAAATAGAAGGACATTTTCAGGCATGGGACGGAGGTTTTACAATTTGTAGCTTTTTACTGTCCTGGAGCTGTTGTCTCTTCCCCTTCAGGGAGACATGCTTTCTGGTTGTGAACAAGAAAACCCTCAAGTTGCTTGTTCAGAAGGGGTTCACTTTCCCTCTGGCCTGACAAGGGCAGTCAGAGCAGCTGTGATTTTCTTCCTCTGTCAACACACACTGTTTTTGTTTTTTGGCCTCTCCCCACTCATCAGTACTTCCCTCAGCAGTCACTGAGCTTGTGAGTCAAAACTTTTCAGATCCCACAGGCAATCAGAAAGTGACAGGCAACAAATAGTCCTTCTTCAGAGGTTTGAAATTCCCGTCTCCTGATCTTTTTCCTTCCAGTTTCTCTGTCCATGTAACCACCTCCTGTTCTCTCTCTGGGATTTCCTGAGTAGAGGAGAATATGAAAGTAACTTCTATACCACACTGCTGTTGTCAACAAATCAATATGCTGTTTTCAGAGTATTTCCTGCTAGACACTTCTTGAAGACAAGCTGTGCCTAACTGATGGCTGCTATTCACCAGTGAAGGTCATTGATGTTCTTGGTGGGAAGGTCATAGGTAAAGATCAATGAAGTAAAACATGTGTATTTTAGGAAACCATTCAGCTGGGATTTTCTGTTCTCCTCTGCTTGAACTTGCACACACACACACACACACACACACACACACACACACCCAGGGGGACATCACTAACAGTTCCAAAGGAAGACCACATATGGTATCTTAGCATCTGCTCTTTATCCTTCCTGGAATACCCTTAAATCGCTTTACCTCTTGTCCTCTTCCTCCTTCAGTTAGTTGCTTAAACAGTCACATTTTCACGAGGTTTTATTTTGCTGATGTTATTTTTTAAAATTTGATCACCCTTTCCCCAAAGTGTACTCTCTTTATTTCTTTTCATAACAGTGCCACTTGAAACACCATGTACTTACAGTAATATCTATCTCTGTCCACTAGAATATGATATGAGAAGGGTAAGAGTTTTTGAAGTTTCTGTTCATTTTTGTGTCTACAGTGCCTGATTACATGCTAAGTTGGGTACCCATAATTACCTGTTTTGTGAATATTTAATTCGATGTTCACAATGGCTTGAGAAGGAGGCAGAATGGAAATTATAATCCTCCCTATTTGGGGAAAATCAAATGACTTATGGTGAGGGATAACTATATGTTATCAATAACCATTATTAGTGTATTCAACAAATGCTTATTATATACTTAACATTCTGGGTAAAGGAGATACATGTGTCATTCACTGTCTTTCTAATGTTTTTATTAAAACAAGTTTTAGTGACATTTTGAAATCAGGCAAGAATTAGGCAGGTTTAAATAATTTAAGTATGAGGAAAGAGCAGAAAATAAAAGCATATTGAGTGAAAGGAGGAGAGGATTCAGCACTAGCTGTGATACGAAGGAGCTAAAAAGCCATATATATGGTAATACTTCCAGGTAAATACAAGGTATGATTAATTACTTAACTACTAACTATGCAAAACATTTCTTTTCTTTATTAACATATTATGTAATTTCTGTAGACCATTCTCCAAGGACTGTGTGAGTATTCATTTGAGTTGACTTTTCATTGTTTACTTATTAACCATATGTTTATGAGACAATGGTCACGGTCTTTCGGTCCCTCTCTAAATCATCATCCTGGGAACACCTCCATTAGAATCGTCTGGATAATTGTTAATATAAAGATTCCAGTATCTCACGTCAGACTTGCTGAAACAAATTTTCTGTAATTCGCTTGATTAACAAGTTTTCAATCAATTGCTTAAAAAGCACTTAATTCTCCTGAGTATATGACTGCATGAAAAGCTCATGGGGATATAGAGATGAATAAAATACTGCATGCAGATCATTCTTTCATGCTTACATGATTGCTGTTTCTTTTCTTCTGAAATACGGTATATAAATATGTGCTTAGAAGCAACAATGTGAAAATGGACTGGAGCACTAATATATGAGTAGAAAGTTGTATATTATGGTGACGTGATGTGTTAGAGAATAAATTAGCAGTATGTAGAGTACCCTGGAAGAGGAAAGCAGAAAGGGATGAGTTCCATCTTCTGTATCACAGGAGTGCAGTGAGAAGAGCTTCACAAAGAACAGGCCTGGAAACTGGCCCTAAAGGATGAATAGAGTTTGAGAGGCAAAAATAGTTCATGGAGAAAGAGGCCAAGTATGTATGTATATGTGGATATAAGTTCTATATATCGATTTAAGGATGGGTATAAGTATAGATATCTATAGGTATAGCTGTAGGTACAAGTGTAGATAAAAGAAACATAATAGTAATTTAATATGAAGGCATAAATTATAAATGGTTTAGTAGAAGTACGAAATTGGTTTATGGGTAGTATTCATTTCAAATGACATGGATTTGGAGGAAAAAAAACATTTCAGTAATCAGTAACATTATTTGTACCTTCATGTCTGCCCTATTTTCATTTGTTTCAAGTTCAGGCACAGAGTCTCAGAAAATGCCCATCACAAATGACAGTGCAATAACAGAATTCATTCTCCTGGGGCTCACCGATCGCCCCGAACTCCAGACTCTCCTCTTTGGGCTGTTTCTGCTTGTGTACATCGTCACTCTCTTTGGCAACCTGGGCATGATAGTGTTGATCAGACTGGACTCACACCTTCACACGCCCATGTACTTCTTCCTTAGTAATTTAGCCTTCGTTGACTTGTGCTATGCCTCCAACGCCACCCCACGGATGTTGGCTAATTTCCTCTTAGAGAAGAAGACCATCACCTTTGCTGGCTGCTTTACACAGTGTTACATTTTCATTGCTCTCCTTCTCACTGAGTTTTATATGCTGGCAGCCATGGCCTATGACCGCTACGTGGCCATATGCAACCCTCTGCGCTACAGTGTGAAAATGTCCAGGCAGGTGTGCACCTGCTTGGTCACATTTCCTTATGTCTATGGCTTCTCAGATGGCCTCTTACAAGCCATCCTGACCTTCCGCTTGATCTTCTGTAGATCCAATGTCATCAACCACTTCTACTGCGCTGACCCGCCGCTCATTAAGCTTTCGTGCTCTGACACTTATGTCAAAGAGCATGCCATGCTCATATCAGCGGGCTTCAATCTCTCCAACTCCCTCACCATCATCCTGGTGTCGTATGCCTTCATTATTGCCACCATCCTCCGGATCAAATCAGCAGAAGGAAGGCACAAAGCATTCTCCACCTGCGGTTCCCACATGGTGTCTGTTACCCTATTTTATGGGACACTCTTCTGTATGTATGTAAGACCACCAACAGATAAAACTGTTGAGGAATCCAAAATAATAGCTGTCATCTACACCTTTGTAAATCCAGTGCTGAATCCATTAATCTACAGTGTGCGGAACAGAGATGTAAAGCGGGCATTGAAGAATGTCCTGAGGCGAAATGTGGTCACTAAGAGGACACTGCCTCCACTTTCCAATAAACCATAACTCTAAGCCTTTGGCTCAAATGTCTTTGCATATTGATGATGATCTGGGGTATTCTCTGTGGATATATCTCAAGTAGCTCATCTATAAAGCTCAGTTTTGGTAAAAATAAACTACACCTGTTAGTGAAGGCCCTTGCCCTTGAAAATATGGTCATTCGATTAGCAGTAACAGCATGACCTTGGAAGTTTTTAGGCATGTCGCATTCTGTACTCCAGATCTACCATATGCAGATCTGTGTTTTAACTTAATCCTAGGTTATTTGTAAACACATTAAATTGGAGGAGCATCTCTAAGTGGAAATTCCCTCTTGGCATGCTCTGGAATACTGGTGTGCTCCTGTTGTTAATAATAGTAGACAGCCCTGGTCGGTTTGGCTCAGCGGTTAGAGTGTCCACCTCATGTCCAGAGAGACCCCGGTTCGGTTCCCGCTAAGGGCCCATATCTCAGTTGCAGTTTGTCCTCAACCCTGGTTTTGTTGTGCAGATGGCAGCCACTTGATGTGTACCTTTCATGTCGATGATTCTCTCTCTCTCTCTCTCTCTCTCTCTCTCTCTCTCTCTCTTCTCTCTCTCTCCCACTCTGAACAGAAAATGAAAAAATATCCTCGGGTGAAGATAATAAACACACAGAAAAAAGCATACAGAATAGACATGCTTTCAGCCCAGTTTCTTGAATTTATTCTGTTCTTAATACCCTCTATACTTAAGAAAAACACCCTCCACCCTGACTTATTACGTAAAATCATAAACTATGGGTCATAGTATGGTTTCCTATTTGTGTGCTTTTGCAATGGTCAGTATGTGATTGGATAGGAAGAGGACTAGAACAAACATTATTTCTTAAGCATGAGTTTGTGGATCTATAAGGTTCTACTTTCTTGCTCTGAACTGTAACCTTGCATTCATAAACTTAGGTCTAGGAAAAATATGAGTGTTTTCTGTATCACCTGGGCTTGAAAAATTTCATATTTACTGGAGGTTTCTTTTCTAGTTTTTAAAAATGAATGTTTGGATTATTGATTTTAGTTTTACTTTTTTCATATATGTTTAATGTATTTCACCTAAACACTGTTTTTGCTGAAAACTATGAACTTTAAAGTTCAGTTTGCAATAATTTCTTATTTTCCCGATGACTTTTTCTTTAACCTATTGATTATTTAGCAGAAAGTGGTTAATGATCATACATTTGGGACTTTAAAAGATATTTCATTATTACATATTTGTAAATTAGTTCTCTTATCAAAGAACTGACCTTATTTTATCCTTGAAAATGTATTGACTAGTATTTTTTTCCAGCTTTATTGAGATATAGTTGATATATAACATTGTTTAAGCTTATAAACATATATACTGGAAAATGATTATTATAATAAAGTTAGTTAAGACATCTATCATCTCATGTAATTAGATTTTTTGTTGTAGATAACTGGATAGTTGGTAGGTAAATGGGAAGAAAAGGTAGATATATCATTTTTCCTTTACTCTGTTTTCACATATGGGTAAATAAATCACATATTGATAAATTACATGCTCACCCAGGTTTTTCATAATATATTACTTTCTAAGTCCTAGACCTCGCACCTTGAACTAACTCTATTACAAATCATTATGATATCTTGTGTAAATGATTTTGCATATGGCTTTTTGCAATTTAACCACTTTATTCTAAGTATGAAATTCTTTTCAGCAAACAGTAGTAATTTTGTGGAAGAGACTATATATATAAAACAATTCAGAGTGGAAAAACATCACAGAATCATCAGTGTCCATGAATTATGTTATTATTTTATATCTTTATTAAATTTTTGCTGATTTGATTGGAATAAATGGTGACCCATACAGAAATTCTTTGAGAAGACACTCCTGATCCCCTAAAGCAATCAGCTCAGAATGATGACACATCGATGCAATCACACTGTGCATAGCCAAGGCTCTAATGAGTGTGAGTTCACATTAATCACTGTTTCCCTGGAGTTTTCTCTTGTAATAACATTGCAATTATTTTTCATGGTATGTTGACAAATACTTTAGGGATAAAGCTTTCAGACTGTAAATTAGATATAAATCATCCCTAGTAACATATTCCTTGGACCAGTAATGTGTCCTAGAAAATCTTTCCTGGGTCAGGTAGGTATGAAAGTTCTGACTTCCATGTCTGCTATTTGTTTGTTTATTTTTTGTTTGCTATTTTAAAAATTTATTTTAAAGAAATAAATGAAGAGAGATTATAGATATATTGATAGATAGATGATAGATAGATAGATAGATAGATAGATAGATAGAGATAGATTGCCTTCCATATCCACACTTACCAGGGACTGAACCCAGAATCTTTTGGTATGCAGGTCTACACTCCAACCAACTGGCTCACACCCACCAGAGCTGTACTTTCTCTTCTTGTTTCAGTTTTGAATCTTCATGAGCAGGAGTCAGGTGACAACGAAAGCAGCTTCAAATGTTAATATAATTTCTCAGTATTTATTATTTAGTTTGGTCACTAGAAAATATAAAATGTTATTGGATTTATGTCTTTAGCTTAATCATTTTACTTCATAAACAGCATTCTCTTCATTCATGGAATAATTTAATGTACATTAAATAACCATATTGGAGTAAGCACTTGACAATCTAATACATATTTTTTAGAATAGTATCTATTGACAAGAACAGTTCCTCCACCATAAAAACTTGGGAAATAATTTCTAAGAGGAATTTCCAAGTAGTACAGAATATATCTTACTTCCTTGGATTTTGTTTAGCTTTAGAGGTGCAAGGACTCCAGCAATCTCTGGTGCTCATTATAGAGTGGCATTTTCTTAGCCGAAAAAGAACACTTGAGGTTCTCCAGGATCTTTGAACAAGTAAGCTTAAGAAAGGCTCGTATTCTTATCTCCCTTTCATAGGTAAAAGTACATATGGACATGTAAAAGGTTCTGAGACTTCCTGCAACAGAGAAACCATCCCTTTCCACCCCAAACTCAGTATTTTTCAAACTTATTTTTATTATAGACCTGTTTTATTGCCCAATATTCATTGGTTTCACTGAACACAGTATTAGAAATACTAATCTAAAAACCCAGGTGACAGCAAGCTTAATGTTTATTTGTGCCCTATTTTCCCCATTCCTAATTGTACCCATTCTATTAGTTGCATGACTCTTCTAAAGGTAAAATAAAGTAGAATAGCATACTTGCTTTGTAATTCTTAAATGCCTGTGCGCATGGGAGAAACTACTATTATCAAGATGTAGCCTTCTCTTCCTAAACTGTAAAGTGTGGTTGCTGAACCTATTTACAGAGAAGAGCAGGAAATTGGCAGATTAAATTCCAATCAATTTTTAAAATATTTTTATTGCCTTTATTTTTGTCTTTATTAGGTGTTTAACATAATATGATGACCCAACAGGTGCTACTCTTTAGGACATGGTTGTATAGCTTTAAAGATTAGATGAATACCTTTTGCCACAAAAATGAAAGATTTACAATACTAAGGTGCATCTTTTCCAAATGGACTCATCCTTCTGTTGTGTGAGGAAAGAATACTTTTACTATGGACATAAATCCTAATTGTCTAATTATTGTATTTTCCTCCCAAAGGCCAAAGTTGTACATTTAATCTCTGCAAATTCTATTTCAAATTAACTCTAATTATCACAGTGACTTGTGTGTAACCCACATACGTATAGACACATTCCAAAAAAAACACATCAAGACAAATTCAAAGAGCTGCTGTCTCCCAGCTTTCAGGAGTGTTCATACTTCTGGGTCTGTGATGAGGCCTTCCAGTTAGTCTGCATGCTTGCCACTAAGGCATTTCATCTGACACAACAGAAAGCTCATTCATGCATCCATGTGGAACGTTTCTGACCTCTCACACAAGCCTGCTGTCTCTGCATGGACCGGTCTCACTAACTGAAAGTCCTCTTTGTACTTGTCCTTCTAGAAAAGTCTTAGTTATCCGTTGTGCTCAGTTAAAGGCTACTGTTCTTTGATGCCTATTCTGATTCCTGAACACAATTAGTTTTTTTGTTCAAATCTTTATTATTGAACTATTTAATCACTTTTCATCTCAATTTTCTCTTCATTGGCTTTCTTTGCCATGAAGTCACCAGCCAGCTCTCTCAAGACAAGCTCTGTTCGAGTTATCTTGATTCCTCTGGCAAAGTGACATGCACACACATAGCATTTAATGCTGTTTCTCTACAAAGGTGATCCTATTATAATGATTAAATCATATACCATATTGGAAGCATCACAGAATCTAACTAGCGAAGTTTTTTTATTTTGTTTTTCTCTTTGAAAACATTTTACTGAAGTATAAAATACATACAGAAATTCTGAAGCAAACAGATCTAAGTTTGCGAGTGTACTTGGTTTTGTCCTCAGGAACAGCTCAGACACTAAAAACACAGTTGGTGACACTGACATGGCATAGACTTGTCACTTGTATTTCGGTGGGTCAGGCTTATAGACTTCTCTTTCATGCTCTGGTTAAAGATAGGTTAAAAAACAAAATTATTTCCCAACATGGTATTTGATTAGGTCTCACATAAAAATGGTGAATCCTGATAATTCTTTAAAATTGAAAAGTCTTAAGATCTTGGAACAGGGGGCCTTGCTACCATGTGGTAAAAATTCAACTGGCCTGAGTGACTCCTGATTCTGCTGTCTGGGAACTGCTCTCTGGTTCACTTCAGTTCACTCTTACCCAGACCATTCTGCTCCTTCTTATGATCTGAATGGCTCCCACAGATCCATAGCATTTGAGTTTTGATTCATTATCTTAGTTAGTGTATCACTTATGAAATAACACATGAGGACATTAAGACTCCATATGAAAATATATTCTCTAGACTCCTGATACAATTTCTCATTTTATTCTTTAATTATAATTGATATTATCTGATCTGATATTATGTGGATATATAATTCTTTCATTATAATCAGCATCATCTGAACTCGGTGCTACGAATAATTCTTTATTAATTTTTTTGTTTTATAACTTTTGGACATTATAGTTTGGTA